GGCCGTCGGCGTGGACAATGTTGAAAAGGCGCACAATGGTGGGGTCGCGCATCTCCTTGAGGAGGGAGATCTCGCGGATGGCGGTGGAGGGAACGCCCTCGTCCTCGGCCTCCAAGCGAATCTTCTTCAGCGCCACAATGCGACCGCCATTGAGAAGGTCTCGGGCCTTGTAGACGACGCCGTAGGTACCTAGGAAGGAAGGAGTCAAGTCAGTATTGGTTGGTGACAGGTGACAGCCGACCGGTGTTGCGTCATGCCATTCTGGGTCGACTGCCCGGGGATGGAGTTGTCTGCGGCTTGCTTACCTTCACCGATCTTCTCGAGCTTCTGGTAGTTCTCCATGGTTGCAGTGCTGCGTAATTATCCGGGAGATCAGTTCGCAGGGAATAAGACAGGTAAATTAATTGAGTCCGATCGTAGGGTGGTCCAAAGAGTGTTAAAGGAAGTCGTCACGATCGGAGCGGCCTTTGTTGTTCGGGTGGGCTCAGGTTCGTTGTGTGGTCGGTCACCTCAGGGTGTGGAGGGGCACAGCTGAGGGTCTCTCTGGGGCAGAGAGTGACGGGAAAGAGTCCAAAGGGAGGAACGTAGTCGTCGTCAGGGGGGGCAACAAGATGCACCACAAGAAAAAAGGACGAGGGGGGAAACGCAGCAAAGTCGAGGATCGAAGGGCCGTTACAAGGGGATAATCTCCATGGAGTGTTGTCGTCGATGTCGGTCGCAAAAGGCCCAGGCGGGATGGGCGTTTTCTCGTTTGGCGGATTGGGCGATGTTTTGTGGTGCTAAAATTGCAATCCGTTGTCGTTGTTTACTAGCAATGAAGAAAAACAAGGCGCGATCTGATCTCACCCAACCAAGGCCGCTGGAAGGCAGGGTCGCGTCTGCGGAAGGTGGTAGGTGGCCTGGGCTCCCCTGGTAATTGGTGGGCTGCCCGCGTACAACCCCCCCTCGATAACGAGCTTATCATTTATCTGATAGCGATAAGGTCACTGCTGATGGTGGGGTCACGGACGGCTCACTCCTGATTTTGTACCGCAGAGTCACCAATTATTTTCATACGATGCGACGAGAGAGAAAATCATGAAGAAAAATTGCCCTGTTTTTATCTTTCACTGATGGAGGGTCAAAATCAATAACATTCATTCCCTTTTACACTACTCATAAGAATTTCTCACCTACCTTCGATACCCATCCACTCTCACCACCATGACGGCTGAAATTGTCGAGCTAGACGCTCATGAGCAACCCTCGGAGGCGATGCGGGCACAGTGGAAGGGTTACTCTAGAGCAGACCAAAAAGAACTCATAAACGGAGACTCTCTTGATGATCCAAGATCGCCGGAACAAGCTGGAAAATTCTCACAGGCTGGCAAAATTTCGGTTGATCAGCTGGCCGCTGCCTTCGCACACCTGGGCTCGAATGCTGTCGACACATCGTCACTCAAAGAAGTTCCCATCTTATACCACCCACTTCTGCCAGGTAATTGCCCGTAATGATTCACTTCTATGTGTAGCAAAATATGTAACCAAGTCACTGTAGGTCTTCTCATTGTACCGGACTTGGTCCCTCCGGGAGTGCAAAAGACTCTGCTCTCATTGATGATCAATCGAGATCTCAGCGTCCCAACACATCAAACCAATCTTCACCTCCACTATGACCTCCCCTATCCAGAGGCCCAAGACGGATCCGCCGAATCCTTCTTCTCATACCCGCCCGAGCCAACGCCCATATTCACCCCCAAGGACCCCTCCGTCCACAAGCCCCTATCGATCAAGCAGGTCATGGAGCGCCGTCTTCACTGGGTCACGCTGGGCGGACAGTACGACTGGACGAACCGCATTTATCCAGAAGACCGCCCGCCCCAGTTCCCAGCAGACATTGCCAAATTTCTCGAGACCATCTTTCCCGAGACCCTGGCCCAGGCCGCCATCGTCAACTTCTATACCCCAGGCGATACGATGATGATGCACCGCGACGTCAGCGAGGAGACGGACAAAGGACTCGTCAGCCTGAGCTTCGGGTGCGACGGCCTCTTCATGATTGCGCCGAACGAGCCGGATAAGATTTCGGAAGAGGCAAGGGCTACGGGGAAGGAGTACCTCCTCCTCCGTATTCGCTCCGGCGACGCCATTTACATGACCAAGGACTCGCGTTTCGCGTGGCACGGTGTGCCCAAGGTTATGAAGGGCACTTGCCCTGATTACTTGGCTGATTGGCCGGCACAGGATGGAAAGTACGAAGAGTGGAAGGGTTGGATGCAAAACAAGAGGATCAACCTCAACGTAAGACAGATGAGGGACTGATGCCAGAACGTCGATTCACGAAACGATAAAACAATGCAAAAGGTGATTGCTCACTGCCTGGATTATTCAATCTCTTTTCTGTCCATGATTACATCCTGGCCCCAATCACTGTACACTACGGTTGACCAGTCCCAGACTTCATGAGTGCACCAAAGACGCCTCAAACAAACCCCTCAACTGCTCCCTCTCCTTCTGCAACTCCGTCTCCAGACCAGGCGCCAGCATCAACACTCTAGCCTGCGGAATCGTTCCCTCGACAAGGTCGTCCAGGTGCTCCGTACCGAAACCAAGCTCCTTGATACCGGCAGGCTGGTCGCCCAAGTCCGCCAAGAACTTGGTCAGCGCGTCGGCCAGAACCTTTCCAGCGTCCTCCTTGCGCACGCGCGAGACGTCGACGCCAAAGGCCTCGGCTGCCTGGAGATGACGCTCCGGGTTTGAGGCGCCCGTGAAGCGGAAGACGGCGGGCGCTGTGACGGCCACGGAAACGCCGTGCGGAATGATGGGGTAGGAGACCTTGTATCCTGCGTGCTGGTAGCCTGGGTTCTGGCCCGAGATGGGGTATGACATGCCTATGTTATCTCACATTAGGGGGAAAACTCGTTCAAAAGTACTGTGCTTTGAGAAACATACCGTGGCAGAGATGGACACCGGCGTTACCGAAACCAACACCGGCGAGCGTCGCAGCGAGCAGCATCTCGCTTTGCGCCTCAAAGTCGTCGGGATTCTTGACGGCACGGGGCAGATACTTCACCGTGGCTCTGAGCGCATGCATTGAGAAGACGTCGCTGATGGGGTTGGCGCCTTGGTATGCGGGTCTCAAGATGGGGTTCTTGGGCCGGGGCACACGCTCATGGTAGGGGATCGCCGTCCACGATTCCAGGGAGTGACACAGCACGTCAAGCCCCGAGGCGGCTTTCACGGCCGAGGGCATCGTGCGGGTGTTGAGCGGGTCACAGATTCCGAGAGTGGGCTTCAGGTTGCGGTGAGCGACGCCCGTCTTGGCGCGCTTGGAAACCAGGTCGAAGATGGCGGTGCCCGTGGTCTCGGAGCCGGTTCCCGCGGTGGTGGGCACGGCAATCAGCGGCTTCAAGGCCTTGTCCACGGGCCGGCCGTTGCCGAGGGGCGCGTTGACGAAGTCGAGGAAGGGAGCCTCGGGGTAGCACGAGTACAGGTTCATCAGCTTGGCAGTGTCGATGACGGAGCCGCCACCGACGGCGAGGAAGGCGTCGGGCGAGAAGGGACGGGCCCAGTCAATGGCCTCGCGGATGCTGCTGTCCTTGGGCTCCACGCGGGTCTGGTTGTAGACCTTGTAGTTGATGCCCTCGCGGTCGAGGGCCTCGCGGACCTGCTGCATGGCGAAGAGGCCGTCGACGACGGGGTCCGTGACGACGGCCACGCGCTTGGCGCCCATATTGGCAAAGTCCATGCCAACTTCCTGTGTGGAACCGGGACCGAAGCGGATGGATGAGGCGGCCATCTCAAAGGCGTACTCCTTCTGCGGGCTGTCTACGGGGGTGGCATAGCCGCGGTTGCTGCTCGACCGGAGGGGCCTCGGCGTGAAGTGCAAAGGGTTGTGGTGGTGGTGATGGCCAGGGTTGGTGTGGCATGGGCATGAGGGAGGATGTGCCTGGATTGTCCTCAGAAGGGATACGGCACGAGACGCCGCCTGTTGACCTTGTGAGTGAGGGATCTATCTTGGGAGGGACGGGGGAGTTCTTACGTTAGGGATGACGCGGAGTGAGGGCGTCATGGTCAAATTTGAGAGTATATATTAGCGGTCAATATATTGATTGGTTTGCACCGGATGTTCTACAAGATGACGGCTGATAGGACGCTTTACTACACGTAAGGTCTGAGAGGACAGGAGAGAAGGTGTGTGGTGAAGCTGCAATGCTAGGTGAGACGGGAGAAAGCGATGTCGGGAACAATGTCCCGCACCTCCTCCGCACAGGGCATCTCAGACTTGGTAGGGAGCTTGGTAATGATGGTCACTCCGGGGGTTGGAGCAGCTTCCCCGCATTCGGACTCCACTTGCCGGCCGAGCGATCTGTGTGGGGCCCGTTTGCCGAGGTACATGTACCTGATTATTTCCCTCTCCCGTCCGTATTATTTTTTACCTTACCTCTAGTCCGTCTCGAACAGGGCTTATCTAAGGTAGGTAAGAAGCCTGGTTCTAGGCTACCTTTTCAAGGGCGCGATGAGGGTTTTACATATCGTCAGCATCAAACGTCAGAAGAGCGAGTCCACGCGGTTAGTTAGCCCGCGCTGACTGCGCAACGTAAGCGGAGTACGTCCACCGTAAGGTAGCGGCACCACTTCTGCCAAATCCACCTGCCCAAAGAAGCTGGCCGAAGGAAGTGAAACCACGCGCGATCTCCAGGCATTCGCAAAAGCTCTGGTTCGGACTTCGTTCGACGTTGCAATTGGTCAATGGGTCCACGATGATATCCTCTCATGCTGATGCGGCCTGAGTCAATTGGTGGTTGCCATTTGATCCTTCATCGGGGTAGAGAAAAAAAAAAAAAGAACTCAAACGTTTACAACATTGCGACACGCCACTTACATTTGCTGACCGTGATGCATTTGCGAAGATGTATAAAGGCTGCGATAGCAACTCTTAATCAAATACTGAAGGACAGAGTTGTCTGACTTCCCATTTCAAACCTCCTGTCTAAAGCAACTCAGCCAACTTCATCAACATGGCCACACAATCAACTCCCCGCGGCCGCATCCGCGATGTTCTCCCCAAACTCGACCTCGGAAGATGGCCGGCGGGACCCAAGAACTCCATCACCGATGTTCCCGGCGTCCTCGCCTCAACGCAAAGTATCCGCACAGAAGAGGGCGTCAATACCGGCGTAACAGTCATCCTCCCCCGCCGTGAATGGTTCAAGGAAGCCTGCTACGCCGGCATCTTCCGCTTCAACGGCTCCGGAGAGCTGACGGGATCCCACTGGATCGAGGAGACCGGCCTCCTCGCCAGCCCCATCGTGCTGACCAACTCCTTCTCGGTGGGCGACGCATACCGCGGCATCTACGAGTACGCCATCAAGCATTACTCCAACGACAAGGGAGAAATCGAGTGGTTTCTACTCCCCGTCGTCGGTGAGACCTTTGATGGGTTCCTCAACGACATCTCCAAGTTGGCCGTCACATCCGCACACGTCGTCAAGGGAATCGATTCGGTGACGGACGACCCGGTCCCCGAGGGCAACACGGGCGGCGGCACGGGCATGATCTGCCACTGGTTCAAAGGCGGTACCGGATCCTCGTCCCGCGTCGTCCCGGGGATCGACAGCGAGGGCAACACAAAGAGCTACACCGTCGCCGCGCTTGTGCAGGCCAACTACGGCAGGGCAGCCCACCTGCGCATCGGCGGCTTCCCCGTCGGCCGCACCCTCGCAAAGGAGAAGAAGGACACGCTGGCCGAGATCATGGCGCACAAAGACAAGAAGGACGGCTCCATCATCGTCACCATTGCCACCGACGCGCCCCTGACACCCATACAGTGTCAGAGGCTCGCCAAGAGGGCTACCGTTGGATTGGCGAGGGTCGGTGGCTACGGACACAACCCTTCGGGCGACATCTTCCTCGCATTCTCTACGGGCAATCATGTTCCTGTGCAGACGATGACAACGGAGGGGGCAGAGGTGGATCCATTCAAGGCCAAGGCGCTCAAGGTTGAGTCGATTGACGACACGAGCATCAATGGGCTTTTGGAAGCTGCGGCGGATGCGACGGAGGAGAGCATTTACAACGCCTTGTGCTCGGCTGAGACTTTGAAGGGTTTCTTGGGACACACGGTTGAGGAGCTGCCTTTGGATCGATTGAAGGAGCTTATGCAAAAGTATGAATATGACTCGTGAGACTTTGATTTATCTAGCCAATGAATCTATTGCACACTTCCTGGGTCACTTAGGTGACCGACAATGCCCTTTCTACCATCCAAATTTCGTGTCCGTCTTGCTTGGAGTGATTGTACCCCAGCTCCGTCGGCTGTACCTGACTTTCTCGTCATGAAATGCCTAGTCGGACTTGGCCATATCTTTGCCCTTGTCGACTAAATCATCGTGCAGCTGTTGAGGAACAAGATCGCTTATGCCCCGACGAACGACATTGGTATGAATTATGAGTGCCTCATGCGTTGCTGTAGAGACGTGCTTCTCGACTTGTAAGGCCAGCTCGAGCATTCTGTCAGCTAAATCATAGATCTCTATGACGGCATCTCTGAGCTCCTCCCAATGGGCTCTCCAGATCTCGGGGTGTTGTTCACACTCAAGGGGCGCTGGACGATCTTGAGCTTGCCGAGAAGAAGTATGAAAACGTTGAGTCTCTGGAAAAGAGCAGTACTATATCTTGATATTGGCCTGGGAAAAATGGAGAAAATTTCTTTTTCGAAATTTAACTTACGCGGTCTTGGTGGCTCGATTGACAGCCTTCCTGGCAACCACGCGCAATTCCCGCTCTGAGGATTCGGATGGACCACTACCATCCGCCATCTCTTTGGTGGCCGCCTTCTTAACTGGGAAGGATTCGGACAACATTGCCGATTGTTGCGATTGTCCTGCTCGATTTTGTAAATAGGGTCATTGGTTGGGCTTAGATGGGGTGGTGAACATACCCATGGGCTTTGCTGATGTTGGAGGTAACTGCCAAAGGTGAACAGCTAGCAAAAAGAGGAAACTAGAGAGCTGAGCTGGGATTTTGGAACTTTCCTAATCGTAAGTACTAGGAAGTAGTAAGGTATTAAGTGAGGCAGGGAGGCTCTATGACTGGCATTGTGATGGAAGGAGTGACACGGGTGACATTGTATCCTCAATCAAGCGGGAGCCTCGCAGAACATTCTTTCACAGTGGAAGTATACGATGCCATTGAAAAACAAGTCTTGGTTTGTTCGGAGCTAGATTTCTTTTAGGATTATTACGAGAGAGTGGTGCACAACACTTGTTTCTTTCATTGGAGGACGATTCGTAGAAGTCGGCCGGCAAGGTATGCTGTTGAATACCCTGCGTTGCTTGATCACCTTTCCTGGTTTCCGGTCTATCTAATGGTGGGACTTCAGCTTCATCCTTCTATGGGTCAAATTGCAATGCATAATTACTATTCATAGACATATCTTGGTCGTGAAAACCATCTGAAGGTAGATCCTGGACTCAACTCATGTCCAGATGCCAGAAATCTCTTGCATCTTTTAGACCCTAAGCAAGGACTACTCCCAAAACATGGTTTGGATAGAAACTCTGTAGTATTTGATCTCAATTTCAAAGCATCGAAGACCTCAGATTAAGATGTTCCTGCCTTAGACTCGTTCTCATGTAAGTTAAGCCAGGATCTGCTCGTCGAAATAACTCTGGCGTATAATGGTCATCGTATCGTATGCGAGAAATGATCAAGAATAAAATCGAATCATCAGTCGGACTTACTTAAACTCTCACATGACGCTGTGATATCCTGCAGAACCATCGATCAAGCGGCCGTGAATCCAGCTGGCTAGGTCAAGCCGAATGCCAGAGCATCGTTGGAAATAAGGTATTCATCGGAAACATACATATCTACTCAAGAGTCCTCGGAAGTTTTTGAAAGCACAAGAAGCATGCTATAATAGCTTTCTGTAACCCGGACCTCAAATGAGACCGCTTTTGCAGCATCGTGAACTTCATTCAGGGGCTCAGGGGTAGCAGTGCGAAAAATACAGTGCCGAGTTGATCATGGCACAGCCCGCCCGGTCGCGGAAAGCACCCCTCCCCCGCCGCAGGTCGCTCTGCCCCTCCATCAAAGGCGGTGAGTCAGGGCAAATGAGTCAATGGCACTACCCCGCCGTAGCCAATGCACTGCTGCCCCTCGTCCCGGCATTAAATAATTTTGACTGGTAAAACTTCAATCGCGAGACGCAGGACAAATTTGGTGAGTCAACCTTCGGTCCCTGATTTAACGACGGGAATCCCCCACACACCCTCCCCCGGATTCCTTTCTCTGACAACTTCTTGTGTACGCAGCAAACCGCAATCATGGCCGACTCAAGTGCTCCCGAACCCCCCACCGAGCAGGTCAAGGACCTCAAGGTCGAGGAGACTGCCAAGCTTCTCAAGGATGAGGTCACCGGCGAGATGGTCTCCAAGACGGAGCTGAAGAAGCGCCAGAAGGCCCGCGAGAGAGAGGCTGCTAAGGCTGCGAAGGCCGCCGCTGCCCCTCCCAAGCCTGCTGCTGCCAAGAAGGGCAACGCTGAGGCCGACGAGAAGAACCTGGACCCCAGCCAGTACTTTGAGAACCGATCTCGTGCCATCAACAAGTGCGTATCACGGAGGGGATCATTTGAGAAAAAGTGGTTGCATGGGCTGACAATATGGAATTCAGGTTGCGCGAGACCAAGTCTCCCAACCCTTACCCCCACAAGTTCCACAGTGAGATCTGCAAACACCATCATCCCTGGACCTTTATACTAATACCGGTCCGCAGCCGACTACGACTTGCGCAACTTTGTCAAAGACTTTGGGCACCTCAAGTCTGGCGAGCATGACAAGGAGAAGGTCGTCCGCGTGGGCGCTCGTATCTACAACAAGCGTGCCTCCGGCAACAAGCTCTTCTTCTATGATATCCGTGCCGAGGGCGTCAAGGTCCAGGTTATGGCCCAGGCACAAGAGGTCGCAGAGGGAAGCCCGTCATTCGAGGACCAGCACGTCCACCTTCGCCGAGGCAAGCATTGAGTTCCCTTGCTAGGTGGGAAAATATTGAATACTGACCGCGCATAGGTGACATTGTTGGTATTATTGGATACCCCGGCCGTACTGCACCCAAGTCCAAGATCGAGAAGGGTGAGGAGGGCGAGCTCTCCATCTTCGCGACCGAGTTCATCCTCCTTACCCCCTGCCTGCACACCCTCCCTGACGAGTACTACGGTTTCAAGGACCACGAGGAGCGCCACCGCAAGCGTTACCTTGATCTCATCATGAACGATAAGAGCCGCCAGATCCTCATCGCAAGATCCAAGATGGTCACCTACATCAGACGCTTCTTCGACGACAGAGACTTCATCGAGGTCGAGACGCCCATGATGGGTCCCATCGCTGGTGGTGCCACCGCCGCCCCCTTCAAGACCCACCACAACGACCTCGACATGCAAATGTTTATGAGAATCGCTCCCGAGCTCTACCTCAAGGAGCTTGTCGTTGGTGGCCTCCACCGCGTCTACGAGCTTGGCCGTCAGTTCAGAAATGAGGGCATCGATCTCACGCACAACCCCGAGTTCACCACCTGCGAGTTCTACCAAGCCTTCGCTGACGTCTACGACATCATGGACCTGACCGAAGAGCTCGTCAGCGGCCTCGTCAAGCACGTCACCGGCGGCTACAAGACCAAGTTCCACACCCAGCACGGCGAGGTCTACGAGGTCAACTGGGAGAAGCCCTGGAAGCGCTTCGAGATGATTCCCGAACTCGAGAAGGCCACGGGCGAGACGTTCCCCCCCGCCGACCAGCTGCACACCGCCGAGACCAACGAGTTCCTCCAGAAGGTCCTCAAGAAGATGAACCTCGAGTGCTCACCACCCCTGACTAACGCCCGCATGATCGACAAGCTTGTTGGCGAGTACATTGAGGAGCAGTGTGTCAACCCCTCCTTCATCTTCGGCCACCCGCAAGTCATGAGCCCTCTCGCCAAGTACCACCGCGACATTCCCGGTCTGTGCGAGCGCTTCGAGGCCTTTGTGTGCAAGAAGGAGATTGTCAACGCCTACACTGAGTTGAACGACCCCTTTGACCAGAGACTACGCTTCGAGGAGCAGGCCCGCCAGAAGGACCAGGGTGACGACGAGGCCCAGCTCATTGACGAGAACTTCTGCATGTCTCTCGAGTACGGTCTGCCGCCTACCGGTGGTTGGGGTATGGGTATCGACAGAATGGTCATGTTCTTGACCGACAACTACAGCATCCGTGAGGTGCTTGCTTTCCCCTTCATGAAGGAGGAGAAGCAAAACGAGAAGAAGGCCTCCGCGGCTGAGGTCGTTGGCGTCAAGCCTGTCCCCGAGGAGGGAATTGGTAAGTCTTGATTGCATGCCACTACAACGGAGAGCCTCGACTAACACTACATCACAGCCCACAAATAGAGAGTTCTCCAGATGTTTGGGATCGGATTTCAAGACGAATCGCCCTGTATGATTGTCTACAAGTGACGCACGCGGAGAAATGAATAGAAGTGTACGCCCCCAGTGATATCCGGCAGACGTTCCATAGTCTAGAGTTGAGCTTCTATTAAAAAAAAATGAACAAAAGGTTTTGAACGGGATAGACTCGAGATACATAATGACCGCCTCAAAGGGCTGGTCGTGTCTGGCCGTTTGTTGCTACAGTGTTATACATGTCTACTTGCTTTTGTGTGTATCATACGTGCCATAATGCAAAAATGCCGTCGCTGCCAAAATGCAGTCAAACCAAATATTGTAAAACTGTAACTTTGTAGGGAGAGAAGTCGCAAGTCATGGGAAAGCGGAAGCAGGCTAGGATCGCCTGCCAGCCTTCGCCTTATTGATGGCCGTCATTCGCTTCTGGATCATGGCCAGGGTGGACTTTGGCACGCGCAGACGGTGTCCGAGAACCAGGGCGCCAGTGAGCAGCGCCAAGGCGCCGGCCTGGTGTGCCGCGGCCAGGGGCACGGGGACGATGTAGATGAGGGTGCTGATGCCGAGGGCGGCCTGCATGAGGACGAGGTGGACGGTGCCGAGGACGCCCTTTTTCACGTTCTTGGGGAGGGCGGCGGCGACGCGGCCGGTGCGGGAGTAGGCAAAGAGGGAGAGGATGGAGCAGAGGGTCGTCATGGCGAGGATGCGGTGGTCGAGCTGGACGGTGCTGGGGTTCTCGAGCATATTGCGCCACCAGAGGTCGGAGCCGTCTTCCTTGCGGGAGTAGAACTTGTCCCAGAGCTCGCCCGAGGGCGGGGTCAGGCCGAGACCCATGTAGGGGAACTCGTTGTAGATGAGGCCGGCGTCGAGGCCGGCGACTAAGGCGCCCGACATGGCGGTTGTGAAGACGAGGGCGACGAGGGCGAAGGAGAGGCGGCGGAAGGTCTTGATGGCCGGGTTGCGGAGGGCGTTCAAGGCCTTGGTGGCGGCGACGGGGTCGGCGAGCAGGCGGCGGGTGCGGAAGACGGTGAGGGCGGAGACGAGCATCCACGAGTAGCAGACGAAAGCCGTGGCGAGGTGGGCTGTCAGGCGGTACTGGGAGACGCGCGGATGGGAGCCGGGCGCGAAGAGGTCGTCCTTGAGGCCGGATTTGACCATCCACCAACCGATGAAGCCTTGAAAGGCGATGAGGCAGGAGATGCCGCAGAGGTTGACGGCCATCTTGGGAGTGACGCGGCGGCGGGCGATGAAGTAGAGGGTGGGCAGGACAAAGGACATTCCGATGAGGCGGCCCCAGAGGCGGTGGGACCACTCCATGAAGTAAATCTTTTTGAACTCGGCCAGGTCCATGTGCGGGTTGAGGAGCTTGAATTCGGGGGAGGCGCGGTACTTTTCGAACTCGGATTCCCAGTCTTCCTGGTTCATCGGGGGCATAGAGCCGGTTACGGGACGCCATTCGGTGATGCTCAAGCTGCAATTGGAAAGAGATTAGTTGATTTGTCCGTAGGTAGGGAGGGTTGAAGGGAATGGGGAGGGAGGCATTACCCAGATTCAGTCAGTCGTGTGAGGCCACCCCAGACGACAATGCCAAAGACGCTGATGGCGCTACCGACGAGCCAGTATCCCACAGACTTGGAGTTCGTCTCAGGCCACGCGCTCGTCTTGGTGGCATTCTTGGCCTTGTCTACGGCTTGCGCTGCGATCGAGGAAGACGGCTTGTCGGCGATGACGGCGTTGCTGCTGAAGTTGAGCGGCGCCTTGGTCTGGTTAAAGCTCCGGGTCTGCTGCTGGGATCGTACGATGGTGTCGAGGACGCGGGACGGGGACGAGCGCCATTGCGGCTGCTGGCGCTGGCATTGGCGGCACACGAAGAGCGAGGGGGATGCCCTCACAGCGAGCCTCCGCAGGCCTGGTGCGAAAGACGCCATGTTAGTGATCGTTGTGGTGGTGTTGACTCCGACCTGGAATTGGTGGTGGTGGAGGAGCGGAGGTTTGTAGATATAAATGATTCATAGAGTAAATTATTTTGGAAATCCAGCGCAGCCGAGTGGTCGGACTTCCCTGGCTGGTCAGTTCCGGGTCCCTTCGGCTTGATCAGTGTGCAAAGTGGGCCCACTCGTTCGATCGCGCAAAGGTCCCCCTCCCCCTGGAGGTCGGCCTGGACAGTGGACGCCGGTGGGCGGCGGTGCGGAACAGAAAACTGGGGGGCCGCTGGAATCCGACAACGCGAGGATCGAGCAGGGGTCCGGGTCTCCAAATGGGCCCCGCTGTAAATTTCTGGTTCACCGCCTTGCGCCCACCATGGCAGAATTTGAAAAAGTTGCCCACGCTCACTGCTCTGGGGAACGACGAACTGTGTGTGCGTATGTGTGCGCTGCAATCCGAGCTGAGGCGGGACAAGGACCGACGAGATTTTGAAGTTTTTCATTTTCCCCCGTCACCTCACACCAACCAACCTATTATCATTTTCTCCCAGAATTAATACAAACAACATGCCTCCCGGAAGGCAATCCCACGGGCGACAAGCCCACGGCCGACCGCTGCTCTCCGCGAAGCCCGCAGCAAAGACCTTCCGCAAGTCAAAGAACAAGGCCCAGGTCAAGGCCCTCGACGCCTTCACAACCGCCTCGGAGCTGTACGCGCCCAAGGAGAAGCGCACCCCGCGCTTCCGCGAGATCGAGGCCGCACCTGAAGACCGAAAGAAGCGCCGTGCCGCCGACGATGATGACGACGAAGACGGAGAGGACGAAGACGAGGATGACGACCAGCCGAGACGAAAGAAGGCCAAGCCATCGGCTGGCGGCGGAGGCGACGACTATGATGAGTACTTCAGCGACAGCGACGGGAACGAATGGCATCATGGCGTCAACGAGGACGAGGACTCGGAAATTGACAGCGACGAGGCCTTTGGGGACAGCGATCACGAAGATTTCCAGGGCTATGGCTTAGGAGGTAGCAAGGGCAAGAAGGGAAAGCAGGTATGTGGCGATCGCAGCATTTGGTGCATTGCTTACGAGAGAGCTCTCTTCGCTAACCGACACAACTCAGGACGACTCTGATGAGGAAGACGACGAAGACGACGACGAGTCCCTCGGCGAGGACGCGATAGACCTGGCCCAAGCCCTCGACGAGTACGAGTCCGACGAGTCCATGGCCGACCAAGAAGGCCAAGACGACTCAGACGCCTCAGACTCCGAGGCCGAGAGCCCGCCCTCCTCAGACGAGGACGAAGACGACCAGGAAGCCGACCCCTCCAAACTCGGCGATCTCCAAAAGTTCATCGCCGGCTTCGGCGGCGACGACAACGACGAGGACGCCGCGCCCACCAAGCAGAAGCAAAAGATCAGCTTCAAGGACCTCGGCCTGTCCGGCGTCAAGGACGCGCAGATGCGGAAGTCCGTCAAACTCATGGCCAAGGAAGAGAAAGAAGCATCCCGCCCCGGCGCGGGCAAGAAGCTCGAGGTGCCCCTGTACAAACGCCAACAAGACCGCCTCGCGCGCGGCGCAGCGTACGAAAAGGCCAGCGAGACGATTGGGAGGTGGCAGGAGACTGTGAAGCAGAACCGCCGCGCCGATCACCTCGTCTTCCCCTTGCCGCAAAACGCCGCCGACGAGGGGTTGGATAACCGCGAGCTGCAGGCCATCACGGCCAAGACCTCGACGGGCAATGAGCTCGAGCAGACGATTCTCAATATTATGCAGGCGTCTGGTCTGGCGATGAACAAGCAGGAGGAGAATGCGCGCGCCAAGGCTGAGAGGGAGGAGGGTATGTCGAAGGAGGCTCTCCAGGATATGATTCACCAGCGCCGACGGGAGAGGGAGCTTGCTTCGCGCGAGACGAAGCGCGCGGCGCGCATCAAGAAGATCAAGTCGAAAGCGTACCACCGCGTCCACCGTAAGGAGAAGGAGCGTGAGGCGGCGAAACTCAAGGAGGCCATGGCCGAGAACGGCGACGTCGAGATTGACTCCGAAGCTGAGCGTGATGCCCAGGATCGCGCGAGAGTGCTGGAGCGCGTCGGCGCGAGACACAGAGATTCAAAGTGGGCTAAGCTCGGGTCCTCCAACAAGCGCGCCGTCTGGGACGACGAGTACCGCGCCGGTCTGCACGATATGGCGCGCCGCGAGGAGGAGCTACGGCGTCGCAAGGAGGGTCGGGTTGGTGGCTCCGACGAGGAAGATGAAGAGGCCGACGACAGCGAGAGCGACGATGGATCCGAAGATGAGGAGGGAACCGGCCGCCGCAGCGGCATGGAGAACAGGAGACTCCTCAAACAGCTCGAGGGCCTTGACAACGAAGAGGACGAGGAACCCAAATCCGACCTGATGAAGATGAAGTTTATGCAAAAGGCCGAGGCGCAGCAGAAGAAGGCAAACGACGAGCTCATTGCGCAGATCCGTCGGGACCTCGACTCGGACCGCGAGGACCGCAGCGATGAGGACGACGACGATGAGGTCGCGGAGGTAGGCCGCAAGAAGTACGGCAGTGCAGCGCAGCCCGCCATCTCGGCCCCGACGCTGTCAAGGAAGCAGAAGAAGGCCGCCGCTGCCCGAGGTGACGATCTCGACACGGAGGACGTCGACGACGCGCCCGACAACAGCGCCGTCAACACGGGCTACTCCCTCACAGCGGAGCCCTCGACAACAGGCTCAGCATGGTCCTCTGGCCCGCGCAAGAAATCCGCCAAAACAGGCGGCAAATCCAGCGGCGCACGCGTAGAGGACCTAGACAACTCCCTCGCCATCACAGCCGGTCCCTCTTCCTCATCCTCAAAGAAGTCAAAGTCAAAATCTTCTTCCTCCTCCGCAACAAAACCAACAACCCTCGCCGACGAAGACACCTCCTCCTCAGACGACTCCGACTCCGACTCCCCAACCTCCCACCTCCCCCTCGCCATCCGCGATATCTCCCAAATGGACAAGGCTTTTGCAGGCGACGACGTCGTCGTCGATTTCGCCCGCGAAAAGGAAGCGATCCAGGACGCCGACGACGACAAAATCGTCGATAACACTCTCCCTGGTTGGGGCGGCTGGGTCGGCGACGGCGTGAGCGCGCGCGAGAAGAAGCGCCAGCAGGGCCGATTCGTGACAAAAGTCGAGGGCGTCGCCAAAAAGGCGAACCGCAAGGATGCAAAGTTGGAGAGGGTTATCATCAGCGAGAAGCGCGTTAAAAAGGTAACCATCCTCCCCCCCACCCACTCTCTCTCTCTCTCTCTCTCTCTCTCTCTCTTTTCTCTTCACTAAAACTCTACACAACTTCTTCTTTCAACACCATGACTAACAATCTTTCACAGAACGACAAGTACCTCGCCACGCAGCTCCCTCACCAGTTCGAGTCCAAGGAGCAGTACGAGCGCTCGATCCGCCTGCCCATGGGTCCGGAATGGGTCACTAAGGAATCGCACCAGGCGGCCGTCAAGCCGCGCGTGCTCAAGAAGCAGGGCATCATTGCCCCCATGTCCAGACCGACGATGTAAAGAGAGGGAAGACGAAAAAGCAAGACACGCTCGTTGCGTTGTGTATTGGACAATGCTTGTTTATACGACATGTTACTACCCTAGATAGATCACGTCATGGCACTCTTCCATCATCAGGGTCATTCTCTCAAGGCGTCAAGGGCGAATATAAAAAAGTGCAATTCTTCGTTCTTAAGACGATAATGGTATATTCTTTCTTACTCTCAAGACAAAGACTAGCAATTACGGACCTTGCGAACCAATGATTTTTTCTTTCTTTCTCTGTTCCTTTGCTCCATTCAATTTTCTCCGTTTTTGCGGAGAGACCTGAGACCTTGGCCTCCCGGAAAAACAAAACAGCCACACCAAGGGAATATAATACAGGTCGGACTACGTACACAAGGGAAATGCGCACCGGGGGCGCATCATCCCCAAAGATAGAATATTCAGTCACTCGGTGTCCGTGGGCTCGACGTGACCGTTGGGTATCGTCCCGTAATCAACACAGCGTCAAGACGCCTACCCGAATATAGTGGTAGGATAAGTTTGTTTGCTGACGTAGACAAAGGAGCCCGGCAAACTGCGCCTTGCGAATTGTTTTGTAACCTCGGCATTTTCAGCGCTCAGTTATCTCAACCCTGAACAACGGACAAAACCCGGTCGATGGCTTCGCTGGGGCTGACGTAAAAGGCCAAGGCGATGATGATGTACAGACCAAGCAACATGGCACCCTCCAAGTAGTTGGACTTGCCGTCCTGAACAGTGTACGTAACGACCAGCACGGAGAATGCGAAGGCGACAGTCTCGAAAGTCTCAAAGTGGAGGGTCATGGGCTTGTCGAGAACAGCCCATCCGAGGATGACCAAGAACGGGGTGACGAGAAGGGCGATCTGGATGCTGGAGCCAATGGCAACACCCATGGCGAGGTCCATCTTGTTGCGGATAGCTACGACGACAGCCGTGACGTGTTCTGCCGCGTTACCAACAATGGGAATGAGAATGAGACCAATGAAATTTTTACTGATGTGGGCGGTTTCGACAATGGGATCGATGCTTTCGACGAGGTAATCGGCGCAAATAGCGACCAAGACGGTGGTGACGACGAGGACGACGGCTGCCGCAATAGGGCCCATGATCGGCTCCTCGACCTCCTCCTCGTGGTGGTGCTGAGTCTCGGCATCAAAGAGATTGGGGTGAGTGCGCAGCTGGAACCAGAGGTACAAGACATAGAGCATTAGCAGGATGATGGCGGTACCGCGGGAGAGTACCAAGATGCTGTGCTCCTTCTCTTCGCTGTCGGCCTTGTCGAGAACCGAGTAGAGCTACAAAAGATTGTTAGTCACTAAGCGCGGGGGTGCCATACCCTGTCGAGAGTGCTTACCGTAGCAGGGATGACCAGCGATGCCGAAGACAGCGTCATCAGCGAGCAAGTGGTCTGCGCCGTAGCAGAGGCGAAACTCTGTTCCATGCCCTGGCCAGTAACTCTGTCGCGCATGTTGACAATACCGCCAAAGAAGAAGCACATGCCCATGACAAGCAGCAGGTTGGAAAGAATGGAGCCTAGCATAGACGACTGGACAACCTCGATTTGACCTTCCTTCAGGGCGACAATGCTGACAATCAGCTCGACGGCGTTTCCAAAGGTAGCGTTGAGCAGGCCTCCGAGGGCCTCGCCCAGCTTCATCGAGATTTGTTCAGTGGCAAAGGACAGAACAGCGGCGAGGGGGATAATGGCGAAGAAGTTAATGGTGAAGACGGCGACTGGGCTCCAGTGCAGCTTTCCAGCCACAATACCAATAGGCACCATGACGAGCAGGAAGTTGACATAGTCTAGTGGGAAATAGTCCGTCAGCTCACAGCGGCGCAAGGCGAACCATAGTATCGCCATATAACTGATTGAACTTACTGCTGAGGAGGGACACCTTGGTAACATGCCAGGCGTGCGACGAATACCTTACGGCGGCATTGGGGCTGTCGGTGCCGGGTGTCTGTGTCGAATTGAAGAGGAACTTTAGCGTCTTGTTGCCGCCATCGCCGTTGGCAATGTGGCTATCGTGAGTGCCCGAGTGGTTGCCATTTGAGAGAAGAGGCGAGTTCTCGTTCACGTCGCCTTCGCGGCCATTAGGCTTGTTGGCTGTACCCCAGGAGCGGACCTGTCCGCGGAAATGTTGGTTGGCTGAATCGTCGGACATGGCGCCGTCATAATTAGCCGGAGCCCTGACCACTATGAAGAAGAAGAATTTCCTGTCGCGCGGCTCGCGAATGTGATGGATGGGAAGGCGGATCGGAAGTTGGGAGTAAGGCGTCCGGCGAGTAATATGCAAAGGCGAGAATTGAAAGAAGAGGCAAGGGAGTGACGATCCACGCGCAGGATAAGGCGACCTGATAATTTGTGCGCCCAAATCCTAAAAGGTGTGGTGCAAGAATGGGAAGAAGATGGGTTGGTGGGTGGTTGCGATGCCAGAGTGTGGCTTGGAGGAGGGAAAGATGAGTGAATGACTTTCACCCCGTGGTAGAAATGACTTAGCGTGCCAAGGTGAAGGTGTGTCCAGGGGAGGGATGCAGCTTCTCTACCTAAGCACCCAAGGACCTAGGACATGGGGCGGAAAGAAAGTCCAACGGGGCTTGATGGGGCTACACTAAGGTAATGTCGCAGCGGAAGAGTGGGAAAGTGGAAGAAGTGCGGTAGGTTTGGTAGACGCAGGTAAACCATAAGGTAAAGTAGGTGCGAATGGAGGGAAGTACAAGGCAGACAATACCGACCGGGGGAGGTAAACGGAGATATTGTGCTCAGAGAGGTAGGTATTCTGGCAAATAGAAAGACCGGGTGGTAAAAGTGCGAATAAAAGGTATATCAAGCAGGGAGAAGGAGAATTGCCATGTACTTACACACCATGATGTCGGCTACGAGTGACTTTGTTAAGTTGCTTGGCCTATTTTTCTACCTTGTTATCACGGCCGGCAGTCTCAAGCTGCAAACAAAGCTTTTGCGTGGGTATTTCCGATAGTGATAGTCGCAACGGACCGGATGAGATTTCTGCTCGAGGCCCTGTGCCTGCGCCGCCCGACGGCAAAGAGAGTGGGGTAAGTAAGGTAAGGTAGCGGACGGTTCAGTGACGGCTTGATCCAATGGATGCGAGGCAATGGCAAGCAAGTGTTGGGCGCCAAGTCCAAAGTACAGAGGAATCTATTTGGACGGCGTATCGACCGGAGGGGGTCCAAGTGGATTGGGGACCTTGGGATTGAACGTGCGAGTGAGCGTGACGATGCGAGATGGATGCTGCTGCAGCACGACTGCAGGAAGCACTGAGGCAGAGCGACGCGACTCGACGACGGGCTACGGGGGAAGGTGGAGGGTGTTGCTGTGTCTTGACGGGTTTGAAAGAGATGGTGTGTGAGGGCAAGGCCAATTGGTAGTCTCTGCGGTGATGCAAAAAGGTGAGGCGAGCTTGGTACCGGGTGTATCTGTGTGATGTCTGCTTGATAGTGCTTGGCTTGATAGCGCTTGTAATTTGTTGCCAGAAAAGTAGCAACGGCAGCAATATGTTGTCCAAAGCCGTGTTCCAAGAAGTTCAGGCGATGGCAAATGAGTCTTGGCTGGGGAGAAGGGTTGAACAAGAAACGAACACAGCCCCCTTTTCCTGTCAGGCTGCTATGGAGAACGTGGGACGGATGCCGTGGTACCCAAAAGAAATAGGACGGGACGAAACAGACGCTGGGTCTCTCACTCTCTTGTGGGAAAAGGTGTGTGATTGTGGTGCTTTGGTAGTGCTGAGAGGGAGTGACGGGAGAGAGGAATGACACTTTTGGATGCATGGGCGGCCTCCCGGATACATGCAAGGACGAACGGTGTTGCTGTTAGTGCAAGGTACATGCAAAAAGGTACATGGTATCCAAACCAACATTTTGCATATCAACCCATCGAAATCCACCCAGCGACGTTGGTATACGCTACGGATACGTACACTAGTGCCTTTCAGCTTGTCAATGGCTGCTGATTCCAGCTTTACCGGCATTCAAGACTCTTGTTGATTACCCTGGTATGACTGCATCGGCTACTGATCTACCTCACTAAAACACCCGCCGGAAGGAGAAGCTCTGAGTGATCATGGGCTTTTTGCAGTGAAAGCTACCTCGCTACCTGGCTAGAAGAGAGGAAGAGTCCAGAGTCCCTCCCAAACGTCATACAACGGACTAGCCAGTAGCGAACAGGTTTCAGTCTCGTAAAGTCAAGGAAGGGGTGAGGTTGGGGTGATGTTGACGACACCCAATGGGAAGCTTGCTGTGGTGCCAAGCGTGGCTGTGTTGTCTGGCGTTGCTTCTCATCTTTCTCCGCTGTTTCCTGTTCAGCGCCCGCCCACTTACCCTCTTGAGCAGTGAGCTTTCCCTGGGTCCCTCCCTGACTGGAGTCCCTCCTGCCCAATCCCAATGTTGCTTGTCGATGGAAGGTACCTTCACTCAGGCCCTTCCCTCCCACATTTCCGCCAGTAGGAGCGCCTTCCAATTCCCAAAGTACGAAGGTTCCGAGGGGCACGTACCTACGGAGTACCTATCCATCACGCTACGGGTAGCTCCCCACGTCCTCCGTCATCGTCTGCTGTCAATTTTCCATTCCCTCGTCATCAGGAGTAGTTTTCAGAATACTATACGGATCTTCGCATCGAAAAAGAAGAGAGGCCATCGCTATCATACATTCGTTGAACAACCCCCAATCAACCACAAACGCTATCGTCGCCCATTAGTCACTCACACTCATCTTGTTCGAACCCAAAGCTGCGTGCCCGCCTCGCATTGCCTCAGCAACCCTTCCAAACCTTCGAGTCAAAAATGATCAAGCTCAGTCTTGGCTTGACACTGCCTTTCCACAATTCCTCGTCTCGGCACGAAGCCGTCCCACTCTCAGGGAATTCGTCCTGACTTTCGGCTCAGGGGACCGGACGATTTGCGACAAACAGCTCGAGCTCTAGTCCACATTCACCACAGCACTCGCTACCTAACGCCGCACTCTCACTGCTGTATCTGTAGCAGCGCTCCAGTTGCTGTTCCATTTTCGCCGCTCTCGACTTTGTCCCAAACTTCAAACGGGGACCCCAAGTCCTGGACTCGTCTGAAGATTGTTGCTTCGATTCAACCCTCTGAGTTATTTCGGTCACAATACGAAGAGCATCCACACAACCTCGGGCTCAGATAGGGCGCCCAGAGTTCCATCTTACACCCAAAACGACAACGACGGCGACAAACAAGCTCCAGAGTCTGTCCGTAATACTTCCTGGCCAAATGCTGTTTTCGGTTGCCCTGCGAAACGCCTTGCCTTGGCCTGCTGGGGGGTGGCGGGGGTCCGCCCTGTCCATTCGCTTTCGGAGTCCCATGCAACGATCTGCGGGCCCCCCAATCCATCGTCGCTGAATGCCATTTCGAACCTTGCCCGGACATGGGGCCTACCTCCGTCAGGAAATCCCTTACGCTGGACCCCTTATCGTCATGTTTCGTTATCGATAAACTTCGTTGCCATATACTGTAATCCTCACCATCACTAAAGCCTTGCCAAGCATCGTCAGTCTTGGCCTTTTACTCAGCCGAGAAGAAGAACCAACGTGCTCATTGCCACACACACAGCCTTGCGAAATGACTGTCCGACTCGTGATCTTCAAGCTTGGCATTTCTGCCTCGCAGTACTTTTCACTTCGTCCAGAGCACTCCTTTAGCCTTTCCGACATTACTCCCCCAACTCTGAATTGCGGGGACGGGCACGGAGGCTGGCCTGTCGCCGATTGATATTACTTCTCAGCCGAATCCCGAGTCATCCTCCACCCATGCTTCATGCGTGCGCTTTAACGCGAATTTCGTGCGCTGGCACCTTCACAGCCACCACCATCCATTTGACAGACACCGCAACCCCCACTAACCTCCGGCCACGTTCTTTGATACGGTGATGGCATACCTAGCAGCTGCAGTCCGTTGCGTACGTCGCTTCGTCACAGGCGTGTGGCTTTGAGAGCTTGGCCAGCCGACTTGCAACAAGGAGAGGCAGCAGTAGCTTCCTGAAGGTCGAAGTCGTTGACGATGCCGTAGGTTGATGGAGTAAAGATCCAACAGTTAACTTTCAGGATACCCGTAAAAACAGCAATGCTAACGAGGATCAAGCTTGGCAAATCCTCGCGGTCAAACACAAGTCCACCTCAGCACTCATGCTTCTAAGCTGACTGCATCCACCGGTTGCGGCAGAACAACGAGTTGCCGGCACAGCGGACTTTTTCTCATACGAATGTGGGACAGTTCGCCGTGCCCTTTTAATTCCATCCGCCGAGACGTGGGCTTGGTAAGTATGACGGTTACGCGAATATCTTGGCACTCGAATTCCATCTTGTGTTCTTGCCTCAACACGGGATGTCATTTCTGGTGCACTGTCAGTCAAAGTCCTAGCAGACTGAAGTGCCTTGTACCTGAGCTAGCTGTGCCGACTTCCGAATAGTCTAGGATCCCTCCTTGACTGGCCAGGGATTTGGCGAGAAGAATACTCTTTAATGAGAATCCGCATCCACGGCAGTTTTTAAGGACTGGGTTTTCTTCGGTTTACACAATCAAGGCAGTCTGTGTGGCTCTCGACTCTGTAAGCCGCCTGCTGCTCACGCTACAGCAGCATCGCAAGCCAAGTGATGGACGTTCTGAACGCCAAAACGTCAGTCTCTACTCCGTAGCCAGAACCATTTCTATTTTCCGACAATTGGCACGAATGTTGAAGCTCGATATCCGTATGTCCTGAAGTAAGCACAGTGCTGACAGTCAGTGCGTACAGGTCGCTCTACGGTGTTTGGATGCTGGCAGGAGACACCGGCATCTCGACACCACCTTTGCGACTTCAAGATCCGATCCAGATCCGGCTGATTAAGTCGATCGTTTCTCTGCACAAGAGATAATAACCAAGACTTTTGTCGGCCTGCAGCCTGATTCTAACCAGCAGTTGCAATAAGCATTGTGGCGACCGAAAAGCTTAGCCTTCCGACCCCCAATCTTTTTTTCTTCCCGTTCATTCGCACTCCGTACCCCTCGCTCCCCCCCAAGAGCTAGAGAAGCCGGGGGCCCGTGTTACGTGGATGGGTGACGCGTCATCCAGGCCCTGCCAAAGGGAAACCCATCCGTCCCCCTGGGATTTCTTGTCAATCTGCTGCTGGCTGCTCTCCCGCTTTTGAAGTGATGGGGGGTGGATCATGGAATGCATGTGCCGTGTTTTCCTGTTGCTTGCACGCCCTGAGCTCATTGCTTGAGCTACCTTAGCTGTCTCGTCTCCTGCATGTTGAGGTAGTGGTGTTTGCGTGCGCCGCACACGAGGCTTGGCTGATTTATGATGCTGCGAATGCAGACCCTGCATTTTACATTTGCGGCAACCCATGGAATTGGAAATGCTTCAGCTGACTGTCCAAGATTTATCGGATTGCCGGGTGTATTGCATATTTTCATCTGTTCATTTACGCACACTCTGTCTTCGTACAGATACGTATACATGATTTAACGGGGTCCGTCTTCATACGGATGCTGCAATGCGTGCCATGTCTTGGCGGGCTCATTTCGTCTGAATTATTACCACGGTCGCTTGTAATATCAGCCAGATCACTATTATCTAGAGGACAGATGAACGGTTGACGACTTGAGATGAGAGGGAGGCTTGGCATTATTCACTTGGCAAACAATATTTTCTCAACTTTCTCAAACACGGAAAAGCAACTGCAAATTTCATTCTTCGTTCATATAAAGATGATATCTCTAGGTTCTGTTTGAGTTAGGCGTGTGTGTAGTGTGTGTAGTGTGTGTCGTAGGAACTTCGTTGTCGTGTTTCGTCATTGAGGAATTACATTGATTTGTGTTCTCCCATCTCTTTCATTTCATGCTTCGTTGCTCGTGATTGTTTCGTCGTCATTACTTCGTCCACGCGCAATAAGGAAAAAGAAAAGGACAGAGAAAACCGAATTCGAATAGTGCCGCCCTCCTAATCTTCATGTCGTGAATTTCGTCCACCAGTCGTATGAGTGTTGAATTAGAACTGGTGTGTATCGATGCAGGATGTTGGAGAAACGTGCTAGACGTTGCCCATCACTATACGACCTGGTATCAGTCTCTGTCTGTCATGAGATCAATGGGAGTTGAAAACTTACGTGCTGCATACGTCAAGTACCATGTCAAACTCGCGCCGCCATCGATCCAGCTAGGATCGAAGTTCGGGCTGTTGAAGAAGTCCCACGCCGTCTTACCATCAATCGTCGCAAGGTTTCCATAAATGATACCCCTCCAGCCGCCCGCGATAGTATCGACGCGTCCATTGCTAAAGTACACGTCCCACTCTTCCTTGACGAAAGCTGGTGTGCGGACAAAGGGCGAGGGCGCGAGGAGGGGAATCATATGGATACCCTGGATGAACTCGATGTTAGCGCCAAAGTAGGTCGTGTGGTCAATCTTGTTCTCAAAGAGGATGCCGGCCACCTTGTTGCCGATAAACTGGGGTGGCTGCACGGCGTTGTCGCTCTTGTAGAGATAGTAGTCCTGGAGGGCGCGGGCGATGATGGAGAGTTGGAGGTTGCTTCGCGACGAGAGCATGCTGTCGCCCGAGGCGTCGCCCCACATCTTGAGGGCGTAGGCGTGCATCATGTCCTCGGAGCTTGATTCTTGGTCCTGTTTGTTTGTGATGTTAGTTCGTTGTGCTTCAGTCGTTGAGCAAAAGTTGAACATGCCTTTCCATCGTACGAGGCGTATAGACCATGGGCCCAGCTGTGGCCATGATACCAGTCGAAAGCACGCCACGTAGGGAAGTAGGTATCTTGGGTGCTGGGGTTGGCCACATCTCGCACCAGGGCATTCACATAGTCCTTGTTCGCTGCCAACCAGCTTGGGTCCAAGTGAGCAATAGCTGCAGCTGCAAGAATGTGATAGCCATAGTGGAAATGGTGGTCGTTGTACTGCGTGTTGCCAAAGTCGGCGCCATCGTTGCCCGTGACGTAAGTTGCCGAAGACACGACACCTCCCCAAGCGCCTGGGTCTGGTTAGCAGAATGTACATAGTAACTCAACAAATCATAACCTACTCTCATACACCAGCGGGTACTTTTGTTTGTTGGTAGCAAACGTTGCAAACGCTGCCTTGAGCCTGTTTAGGCCTGACTGTGCCAATGCCGGGTCTCCCAAAATGTCATTGATCACAATGATCAGTATGGCAAACTTAGCTAGGGCCTAATCATGAATTAGTTGAGATGGTCTACAGACATTTGAAGTAGACTTACCTTTCCACTGAAGTACATGGAGTCTAGGTCAGACTGAGCCATCATATCCTGGGATACCTCCTGGGCTGCTATCCCGCGGATCACCACTTTGGCATTGTCTGATAGCGTGGTGAGACTGCCTTTGTCAGGACTCCAAGGTGCGAAACCCATGCTGACAGGCAAGTTCGATTCTTGCATTGTCCACTGATCAGCCAGAACTGCAGTCGCAATTCCCTTGGCAGGGGTCATGAGCTGGACGGGCTGGACGCCATTCTTCGTCGTAGAATCAAACGAGGAGACTTGATGCGGTAGCGCGTACATGACCAGCTGGCCGTCAGGGTGACCACCCTTGGCAAACTTGAACGTGTACGAGCCCGAGGTGCCGCTCACAGAACCAGACAGCGCGACTGTCGTGGGATAAACACCGGCCGCCTGGTCAAGCAATGCCTCTCCGTTTCCGGGATCCTTGGCGACTTGAATGATTCCGTAGAACGGCTGCGTTGATTGGGCGAGACCATTATTGACAACCTGCAGGTTGAGCTGGGATCCGGTGGTTGCATATGCGTACAGCCGCCAGATCTTGCCGTCTTCGAGCTGGAAAGTGTACTTGGCAACGCCGGCCTTGGGGTCCTGTGTCACCCGCGTGACCGTCCTGAAGAATACTCCCGTGCGGATCACGGGTGTGGCGCCGGCATACTGGGCTGTGATGAAGGGCATTCCTTGGACAAGGGGGAAAGAAACCGCTGGCACAGCTTGAGCATTCGGCTTCAGGTGAATTGTCGCAGAGAAGGCCGTGACATTGTCGGTTCCCACCGCGGTGTCCGACCCGAGCTCCTGGGCGCTGATTACCATTGATTGAATACCTACCGGGTTAATGAAATAAGACGCAGCACCAGAATCCGCCTTGGTCGGGCCGAAGACACGCTGATTCGCTTCGATGTGAGAAATAGTCATGCCGTAGCTGGCAGCGGCCCCTCGTCCTGCCCCCCATGCTATGCCGTAAGGGTAAGTGTACGTCGGCGCCGTCTGGTCTCCCAAGAAGAAGTTGGAGTAAAACTTGTTTGTCTGAAGCGGCGAAGTCGAGGTAATGCCCTTCCTCGGGACCGGGTGGTCACTGCGGGCGGAGATGGTGCCCGGGGGCGCTCCGGTCCCGATGGGCTCAGCAAAGATGTCTCCGGAAGGCATTGGTGCGGATGGAAGCGGTGCAACTGAAGTAGCAGGCGCTGCTGAGTCGATGAGAGATGAAGGCGTCGGGATAGGGTTTGACATAAGAGGGCAAGACGTAACCTTGCCCGATGCTGTAAGACCAGTTGCAACGTATCCGGATGTTTGGGGGGCTGTGTCAGTTAAAGATGGCAAGATCACTACTGTCCCGGTGGCTTCGGCGCTAGTGATGACGTTGGCAACCTGAGTATCTAACGCTGGTGCCGATGTTTGCTGCGATCCTTTCGTAGCTCTGACTGTTACGGTTACGTTCGCCGTCTCTGTTAGGCAAGCTATATCACGACTGTCGAGGAGTAAAGCCCGGACGTTCAATTGACCAAGAGATGCCGAATCTGGGTGAGTGTCGTGAAGGCGAACGTGTTGCTGGTGAAATAGGGCGAGTGCGTTCTCGCAAAGGAGGACCTGTATCAAAGTCAGCCTGAGGATCCCCATTTTCATATGAAGGCCCGCCATTGCGGGGGGAGCAATGATCTTATCGTGTTGGTAAGAGGGTGTAGAGGATTTTCAAGCCTGAATCTGGCTTCTGGGTTTTGTGATGAAGCGCGTGGCAGGGAGAGAAGATCCTCAATTTTTCATCAGATGGTATGGGAGCGGTGCTCCAACTTCATATAAACAGGCGCATGGTAAAAGTCGCCACATATCAACAATGGACACTCCTCGGTGAACCGATAGTAGTAAGCCCACGAGTGGGATTGCCGCAGTCCAGAACGTTAAGTTTTTCATCGTTACCGCGCAACGGACGGGCAGAGAATGTGGCGGGAATGTACAGGTTCCAGAAACAATGGATAGGTCTCACCTGTTAGGAATGCAGAGCGGCTTGCCGGGGAACTCGGTCTAGGTACGGAGCGATGAGAGCCGCGTGATGAGATAGGATAAGGTGCTAGGCACTGAGGGATCGCGATCAGTCAAGACAGGTAGGCGTCCGTGGTGGCCGTGTCTTGATGATAGGAGAGGCTTCTGAGTCTTTGGCCAAGAGCTGATGAAGAGGAGATGATGTTGTGGCTGGCAACAGCGGCACTCGCAAAGGTCTGAGGACTGCGTTGGGTAGCAAGACGCGATGCAGCCGCAAAAGACCAGCAAGTAAGATAAAGTAAGGCAGGTATGTGTGCTGGTTCAACTAGCAAGTCTTAGGTCTTTTTCTGGCAAGCGCAATTGGAGAGAGATGTTGCGATGGGAAGTTTCGACTCATGAGGTTAAGTATGCACGATTAATGCAGCACCCAACGAAACGACCCTCTTTGGCTGACGCGTGCCTGCCCTTGGCGTGGAGACTCTTCGGCATCCAAGCTGCCGCTTGACAGTCCGAAGAGGGAGGGGAAATCAGCCAATATTGGCAAGATGACCGGTGCAATTGACAGAGCAACAGGTCACTTGGCCTCGACTACGATGGCATGCAAGTTAGGATTGAGACCCGTTGGGTGGAAGAATGTCTGCCTCGTCCAGGGACCAAAACTCTTGGAGGGGCATCTCGTCGTCCCTCCATTTGGCGAGGCACTCGGGCCAGTGACGTAAGAGCAGCGGCATCGCTGACTTTGAACAGCTGGATCGGGGTGGTAATTGCAACTACAGGCCATAGTTGCGAGAGTAGATATTTAGGTTGGTGACAGTGGTCAGAAGATGCCGTATGCTGACGCATTGGAGACGGGAGGTTGCTTCTTCACGGTGTAACCAGCTCCTTCAGCCTGTCACTAGGCAATATGATCTTGGGGGAATCCTTGGCGCCATCTTGGCGAATGTCAGTGACTAGACTTGGCTCACTACTCAGAATTAGAGCATATGCCGAGGAACTGCACAGTTCGATTGAAGGCGGCGGCAGGCGGAATGTGATGCAAACATGGTGTTAGAGGTGTGTGTAGTCGAAGAATATCACAGAATATACAGCAACAGTAATCAATTGAAATTTCAGAGCCAATCGCGGGTATCTAAAGCAAGTCTACTCCCAAGCGCCCCAAGCATCTTTGCCGAACCGTATATCAGAAATTGAGGGAGCTTTGTTTCCCTTGCACACTCTCATCTTTTCTTCTCCAAGCTGTTAGCCCCAGACCCGCCCACCTTGTATACGCGGTACCGATCTTCCACGGCCGCGGCAGCAACGGTGTCAGTAGTAGTAGCATCAGACCTAATCATCGGCCGACTGTCTCCTCCTTTCTTCACCTTGTAGGCTGTATAACGGTCTTCCGTGGCCGGAGTCGGGGCCGGCCTCGTGGTCCGTTGTGGCTGCTGTTCCCGGGTTGCATGCCCCTTTTTCAAACTGTAGGCACCATATCGATCCTCTACGACTGGTGCAGCGGCAACTGCAGTCGGGACGGCCGTCACGACCTGGCTGGCCTGCATCATCGGCCGCGATCCGTCTCCCTTCTTCAACTTGTAAGCACGGTACCGGTTCTCCTGCGCAGCAGCCGCCTCAGCAGCCTCGGTCTTGCGACGCATCTCGTCTTCCTCCTTCTTTCTCTCCTCCCGCCTCTTCTCCTTCTTGCGCTTCCTCTCCTCGCTCTCGGCGTCCCTCATCCCCTCCTTCCTACATTTGCGAATCTGCCTCTCGCTAAGCACCCACGGCGGTAGAAGCACCTCGTTCCGGAACCGCGTGCGCTTCTCCCACAGCGCCACCTCGTCTTCCGTGGATCGGAGGATCTTGACCTTTTCAATCTTGATCTGCATCTCCTCGCGGAACCTCGTCAGCCCTCCCTTGATATCGATGACGGTGCCGATATCTACGTCGACGCAGTCCGCTGGAGGCTGCGGTTGTGGCCGTTTGGTGAACCACCCGTTGGCTTCGGGGTTGGTAGCGCTCTTGTCGGACGGCGGTGTCTTCGTCATGACCGTGCATTCAATGCAGGCCCCGCTGCTGTCGTCAACCGTGTAGATGCGCCGGCTCGGGAAGTCATCTACGGCTACGACGATGCCGACGATGCGTGCCCATTTGATAGGCAGATTCTTGTAGAAGTAGAAGTTTTGAACTAGATAGCGCATAACTCGTCAGCCTGTAAGCCTCGGATACTGCGCATGATTGCGGCGAATTACCTTCATACTCGGGCACGGTTTTGAGTGCGTGAACGTCGGATGCCTGCATGAGGCACCATGTGTTGAACGTTGGGGAGAGTTGCAGGCAGTACTGCGGATAGAGGCCGCCTATAAATACATCACTCGTCATGGCATTGTTGGTAAAGGATCACTTGGGCATCCTCAACCCAGACCTAATTGTGAAATGCCGTGGAAGTCAGCTGCAGGCCACTTTGGATGGGAGCCGTCGGGCGTTCTGAGGCTCCGAAAGGCGCGTCGCGTTAGGACATGTATGTGATGCTGGAAAGTTCCGTTCTTGTAGGAAAAGTAAACTTTCGGGGTTGACCTGGGGATGTTCTGGCGACTGCAGTGCTGAGTGCCCCGCATTGTGGCGCTAAGTCTTCAAGGCCAGGACCTTGAGGGACACCCGATCTGTACCACCAGAATACCTTAGGCAGAGCATTCATCACTATCCGCAAAGTTGCGAGTCATCGAAGGGGATGGTGAAAACATGAGTAAAGACCTTTTTTAGTGCTCAGAAGTACTACTTTCATAACCCCAAGTGAATCCCATACCAAGATCTCCATATCCTTGCCGATTTACCCCCAAACCTTAGACGCCGATCCGGAAATGCCATGTTTTACCGCTTCGATCTTCTTCCCGCTTTGGCAGGTTTGCTCTCATCTGCCTTGGGCTTCTTCAGCCGTGCAGCTGCAGCCTGGAATGCCTCTTCTGACGGCTCTTCCTCCTCCACGGCCCTCTTCTTGCCCTTCTTAGGCTGGCTGGTGGCTCCATACTTGGCAGCGAGATCGTCCAGGAACCCGGCGCGTTTCTGCTTGTTGCCCTGAATGAGCGCAGCCAGGTCGGCCTCTCCGCTGTCCTTGCCCTTCTTCTTTCCCTTGCCCTTCTTGTCGCCAAAGAGTTTATCGTGGACTCCCAGCTCTTTGGCGTAATCCTCAGCCTCGTTGGCCTCGCCCTTTGCTGCTTTTACGCGAGCCGCCTTTGACAGCTTGCTCTCCTTTGTGTATCGCTTGTACGCTTGGACATCTTCGCTGGCAATAGCCTCGTCGATAATCTGGCGGAATCGTTCGTCATCCTCGAGGACGTCGCTCAACATAACCGATTCGTAGACCCCGTCCATGTCGCCCTTGGACTTTTCATAGGCAACCAACACGTCATCCTTCTCCTCGTCGGAGCCCTTGTACTTCTTGGCAAAATTTTCAATGGCTTCGGCGGAAATCGCATCTTGAAATTGTTCGCGGTAGTAATCGGACCAGTTAAAGCCCTCCGAGTCGATAATGGACTCGGACGTGGAACCGGTTGTGTCGTATCGCTTGCGTCGCGCCGGGTCGGAGAGGATGGCATACGCGAAAGCGATTTCCTGGAACTTTTCTTTCGCTTCATCTCTTTGGTCATCGGAGACCTTGTCTGCGCAAGAGGTAATGTTAATTATGATCCACGATGACGATGGGCTGTCTCCCTCATACCTGGGTGGTTCTTGAGTGCTGCTTTTCGATATGCCGACTTGACCTGGTCTGGTGTAGCCTCGCGTTCGAGTCCCAAAATCTCATAGGGATCGATTTCAGGAGGGCTCTCGTCAACAGATTCGCCGGGAGATGACATTTTGAAGGCTGTGGGGAGGTGAATATTGGATTGGTGATAGACGGAAAGCTCGCTCGGAGCTCTGCGACGCGCTCGAGCTGGTGGAGACGCGCCTGCTAAAGTGGTGGGGACCAAGAGTTCAAGGGTCGGATCATTTAGTGGACCGTGCGCCAGGGATCAACCTCAGAAAGTCGGCAGACCGGGGCTTGCGGCACCGATGCGCTGAGCTGAGGCAAGAGCTTCACTCTCTTGCCCCTCTGCCCCTCCCACGGCGACTGGCTCACGCAAGAAAGCTACTTTTTGTAACTGTGCAATATCAGATTCGATTCCAGTCCGACTCATTTCATCTTTCAGTAGGAAAATATTCCAGAGTCCCTGGACATTGCCATTTTTACAGCTCATACCACACATTCAAGTCAACCGAATAACTTTGAGCGGCTATCTTGAAAATGACATCAGCGGCCGAGGACATTCAACCAGCACCGATAGCGCCAGGCGATCACGCGGGGTACCTCCAATATGCGCTCTCGCTGGCAAAGCAGTCACCACCAAAGCCAACAAATTACAGAGTCGGAGCAGCGCTCGTCAACCCCGCCAGCAACACAGTCGTCTCGACGGGCTACACGCTCGAGCTGCCCGGTAACACGCACGCCGAGCAGTGCTGCTTCATGAAGCTGGCCGAACAGCACGACGTTACCGAGGAGGAGCTTGGGACCGTCATCAAGACGCCTCTGGTGCTCTACACGACCATGGAGCCGTGCTCGACGAGGCTCAGCGGGAACCTGCCCTGTACCAAGAGGATTCTCCAACTGCGCTCTTTCATCAAGGCCGTCTACGTTGGCGTACAGGAGCCGGAAAAGTTCGTCAAGGATAACACCGGACGGAGCGCGCTCGAGAGGGCGGGTGTCGATTTCGTGCACATTAAGGGGCTCGAAGGCGATATTCTCAAGGTGGCTACGGCTGGGCACGTCAAGCCTGCCTAACCGCGATAGGATTGAGATCAAGTATGATTTCGTTGCTTCCATTGTCGCCGGCGAGCTGCCGCCGATGCTGGCGTATGCGGCGGTCCGCTGTCATGCAAGGGTGCGCAATGTGGGATGACGACAAATAGTCAAACGGCCAATCTGCCTTTCACAAGCGTGACAAGTTGTATCCAGGCTCATTTCCAATGGCGGCGGCGTTTACGGTGTTGACAGGAAAATAGGGAGAGGGTAACAAAATCCAAACGCTTTGAACTGGTACACCAAGCTGTCTGCTTTTCTTCTTGTGCCTCCTCATCGTGAGGTTGTGTAACGCTCCACGATTTCGCTCCCTGAGCTCGATCTCTTGAGTTGTCAGTAGTGGTGGTTGTTGGCCACCTACGTACCTGACTTCAATCATCACTCGATCTGTGCGGTCAGGGGATGGGATGGCTAGGTCTCCAATGCAGATTATCGGACCCAGTAAGCGCTGCAAGGTCCTTTCTGAGCCATTTTCCCCAAATGCCGGACTGTGATGATGCCTCCCTTCTCTGGCGATGGCTCAATTGATGGTGGGGAGTTGCCAGAAAGAAAACGCTTTCTCGATGTTGATAGCACAAAGCCTCGGCAGGAAGCACGGCAAGTGGCATAGGAGAGCAAAATGCTTGATGATATGAACAAACGGCAGTGATATCTCCGCGTTCCCGGTGTTTTTGGTCTGGCCAGTTACCGATTGCAAATCAAGAGGTCGCGCCCCTTACCTGCTTCGTTTGCTTTTGCTTCCCTGTAGGCTGTTGTGCAGATACACACCGCTCCTTTTTTGCTTTTTCCTATCGGCTTGTCCTCGCTTGCAGTCTTGGGCTTCACTGCATTGACAACGGCCTCTAGAACAAGGTAGCAGAATCCCCACACAACTAGCAAGTGAGAAGGGAAAGCAACAATCCATCCCGCAATTGATCTTTCCTCTTTAGCAATCATGGGTGTAAATTGAGGCGAGGTTGACCTGGGCTGGGCCGGCTTAGTCATGAACTGTACAGCAGACAGTTACCGGTAATCAGGAGTTGGGAATTGGTGTGACAATGTGTGGGTGTGCATTTGCAACCATCTTTTGAAGCTGATCAAATACCCTCAGCCAATCGGGAGTGCCCCTGGAACACTGAGTTTGTGCATACAGCGGTAGCCCGCCAGGGCGTTGGCTGAGCCACATGGGAAGTATATCATAAGAGAAAGAAATCTGGTCGCAGGCTTGAAGTTCACGGTGGTGCTTGGATGGAGGCCATCCTCACCCCGCCATTTTTACACTTTGATGATGCGTCGCACAGACTAGCTCAGCTCCTTTGATAGGTAGATAGACACCGAGAACAAGTCCCAATGGCAGTGGAGGCTTTAAAGATTGCATTTCTTTCCCGTGCAAACTCCCAGCTTGGGCATTATCACTTGGGCTCACCTTGGATAAGTCACCCAATTTGCTCTCATGACAGTGGGAAGCTACCAAGCTTGCATCACAGTGACATTCATCTTAGGCAGCATCCGTAGCTCCTCGAAGCTACCCCGGACTACCAAGTGCCTTCTTAAGGAAAAGGAAGGACCCTTTTTTTGACTTTCTTTGGTGTGATGCCCCACTTCAGACGCAAGGATACCCGTCTCTCAGCCCAAACCAAGATCCACTGCCGTTTACCGTCCCATCTCTCATCTCTCACTCAACTTCCGCGACATACATCTCCAGCCAAGGTAGCTTTAGATACCTTGATGTTATTGTTTTTTTGTTGTCTCGACGGCCTCCCGCATAGGTGGCCCTCGGTACTTTCACTGTTTTTCACACATCTTTCATTTTGCTTTATTTCGCCATCAGCCAAATCTCTTACACGTTCCGTTTGGCACGCCGTCCGCTAGCCGATAACAAATGTGCCTTCTCCCCTGAAACCATACATGAGCTGGGTCCTTTGGCTTGCACACATCAACGACGCCGGGCACATAAGTAATCCAGGGAACATCTGAATCCAGTATTGTTCAGTAGGTAAAGCTTCACAGTCGGTGTCAACGAGCACTGGATTCTCAATTGAACTTGCAACTGATCCTCAACTAGCTTCAACTTTACTGAACATTCATTCACTTGCTCAATGGCTGACTCTGGGCGTGGAAGCCGGGGCGGTGGTCGCGGTGGCCGAGGAGGAGATCGTGGTGGTCGAGGAGGTGGACGTGGAGGCGGCGAGTTCCAACCCCGAGGTGGCGGCGATGGCGGCGGCTTCCGTAGTGACCGAGGCGGCGGACGTGGCGGCTTTAGGGGAGACCGCGGTGGGCGTGGCGGCGGTTCTGGAGGAGATCGTGGTGGCCGTGGTGGTGGCTTCAGAGGTGATCGGGGAGGACGAGGTGGTTTCGACCGCGGTGGACGAGGTGGTGGTGGACGAGGCGGTTACGGCGGTTTCGAACGCAGAGACCCATTCGAGGGCGAGGCTCAATTCTTCGGGTAAGTGGAAGATCGCAGCTATTGCTGCAGCTCGACTAACTCTTAGCAGTCAGAACAAGCCCATTCCCCAGCCTGATGGCAGCACAACCGAGCTCGAGAATCGCATCGTCAAGTCTCACCAGGCCAAGGACACCGACCTCGTCAAGAAGATGAGCTCGATGAAGCTTATTGAAGCAAACTCGGCCGCCCTCATGCCCCGTCGCCCTGCCTACGGCACCAAAGGCAACAAGGTCCTCCTATGGGTCAACTACTTCCGCCTCACCGTCAACCCTGACGTTGTCTGGCGATACAATCTTGAAGTCCGTAAGGGCGAATCCAAGGACAAGGAGCCTTCAGAGGAGAAGGAATCTACACCTCAGGGCAAGTGCAAGGGCAAAGGAAAGGAGAAGACCCAGCCTGGTGGTGGCGGCAGTGGCGGCGGCGGCGGCGATGGAGATGGCGCTCCAGCTTCCATCCCTGCTCGCAAGTTAAAGATCATTCTACAGGCTGCTCTCGAAGAGTTGAAGAATCTCGAGCCAGGCGCTGTTCTCGCTACAGAGTTCAAAAGCCAGCTAGTCTCGCTGAAGAAGCTCAAGTTGGCCGTCAACCCGATTAAGGTCATCTTCACGCAGGAGAATTCAGACAGGTCAGAGAGCTATCTGGTCAAGATTGTCGGCGAAACCGAAGCTCCGTTGAAGGAAATGAAGGAGTACCTCAAAACCATGATCGACAGGAGCGACCCCGATGAATCCAAATTTCCTAGGTTTGCAACCTCTGTTGATGCCCTAGGCGTCATTCTTGGCTACACTGCCCGTAAGAATGACCAGGTCACTGCTATTGGCAACGGCCGGTTCTTCCCTTGGGGTCAAGGATCTTCCAGTCAACAGCTTGGTCGACAGGATCCTCTCACGGCTATTCGGGGGTACTTTCAGAGCGTGAAAATGGGTACAGGGGCAATGCTCTTGAACGTCAACGTCACCCATGGTGTCTTCAAGATGCCCGTCAGTGTCCGCGACCTTTGTCTTTGGTCTCAGGTCGATGTCTTCCAAAGGAGCCCTGCAGATGTCTCACGGGTCATCATCAGACTTCGCGCCCTGTCCAAGTTCTTGGCTCGCACTCGCGTCGAGATCAAGTTCAAGGATGCCAAGGGAAAAGAGATCACCCGCAAGAAGACGATCCTCGGCCTTGCATACAGGTCAGACATCAGGAGCAATGATGTTAGATTTGCGGATTCATGGCACTTTGGTGGCCCTCGACAGGTGTCCTTCAGGATGGCGGCAGCACAAGGACAAAACACTGTGATGAACAACAGACCGCCAGGCATGTACACAGTCGAGCAATATTGGACTTGGAAGTACGGCAAAGCTCCCGACCTCACCTTGCCTCTCGTCAACCTCGGAACCCGGGAAAAGCCTACATTCTTCCCTGCTGAGAAGTGTACCATCATTACTGGCCAAGCTGTTCGTGCAAAGCTCAACGGCCAGGAGACGACAGAGATGCTTAATTTCGCTTGCCGATCCCCTTTCAGCAACGCCATCTCCCTCACTGTCGACAGCTGCCAAGCTTTGGGCCTCGACAGCGAGGTCGTCAAGGATTTCGGCCTCAAGGTCGACAAGAATCTCTTGACGGTCAACGGTCGCGAGCTGATGACGCCGCTTATTGCGTATGCGAACAAGA